AAGAAGTGCCTTACTAGTAGTAACAAGTGCCTTACTAGTAGTAACAAATGGAACAGAGCCATTTCGCAACGTGCAGCGCGGTGCGCCTGCGCGTCGCTCGGCAAGAGCCCCATCTCTTTCAAGAGCGGAAAAATGGCATCCTATCGAAAGAGGACAAACGCATCGAAAGCACTTTCAAAGCGATGGCCTCCACCCTAGTAGCGATGGTCCCGCTATGGCTACTAGTAGCGATGCACTTGTTCCTAGTAGCTTCTTGTTCCTAATAGCTTCTTGTTGCACTAGTAAGGCACTAGTAAGGCATTTGCGAAAGGTGTTGGACACCTTCAGGACGCTCGTTGCCGATTCCCACACCCCTCACGAGGTGCTTGTCCTCAGTGAGCACCGGCACCTCCTCCGGATCCTTCCTGAGCACGTCTGGAGTGTTTGGGAGGCACCGCCATGTGAAATCTCTACGCACAAGGACGCTACTAGGGGCTCCTGGCATCGCTACTAGGAACAAGAAGCTACTAGGGGCTCCCAGCTCGTGGGGTCAATCAAGAAACGGGTGCCATGGCGGACACACTCCATGTGAAGACTTCAGCTCACATCAATCTTGTCACATCGCCACTCCATGGTACAAAAAAACAAGCTAGTAGGTTGGAGGCCAATGCTTAGGTTTGTTACATTATTCGTCACATCAACAAGCCACAACTAGCCACGCCCATCGCCCGTCCTTGCCTGGGTTCGGAGTGCTCGAGAAAGCGTTGATACAACTCCATGAGCTGCGGCCTGGCCCCAGGTGCACCGGGCTGCCGTCTCCCCACCGTATCCCCGCCCCATAAGGTCACACATGAGACGTTGAAGTGACTTTGAATGGCACACCTGCACGATGGCCTCCAACCTAAGAGCAATGGACTTTGAATCGCACATCTTGTGATGAGACTTCCTCAAACGCACATCTTGTGGGTAACCATCTGCCTGCAGCACAGGATCTTCGCTTCCGTCATGAAGAGCCCCTCACGTCCGCGAGACGCAGTTTCCGCTGCAAAAGGTTGGATTCGACAAAAAAGTATCAATTTAAAGTCTGGCCTTTTCAAGAGAAACAAGAAACTAGTAGTAACAAGTGCCACGCTAGTAGTAACAGGTGCCTTACTAGTAGTAACAAAAAGCTTTTAGAAACAAGAAACAACCCTCTTTCATCCGCCTTCCTCCGCTTTGGAGCACCTTCCTGCGTTCCTCGCCGCACACCACGCCTGCTTCAACGGAAGCTCCCGCTTCCGGAGCTTCCGCGCCACCTTCTCCCGGCACTGCACCAGGGCACGGGCCGCCAGCCTCGGGAGTGCAAGTGATCCAAAGAGCACATCTCAAATCACATGGACTTAAGCGTGCTAGTTACTAGTAGCGATGCCAGCGTCCTTGTTACTACTAGTAAGGCACTTGTTACTAGAAGCGATGCACTTGTTACTAGTAGCGTTCTAGTTACTAGTAGCGATGCCCTTTGTTACTAGTAGCAAGGTGCTCCTAGTAGTACGGCCAGGAGCCCCTAGTAGCGTCCTTGCTCCTAGTAGTAAGGCCAGGAGCCCCACTTAAGCGTTCTCGCTGTTCAGAAAGTGACGACTAAACATCTTACTGGTTGGGGGTCGGGACAAACCCAGTTAACGCTGATCAACAGCAACAGCTTGTTCTGACCTGGTGAAGCGGAAGAACAGAACATATCGCCCCGCTCAGGCCCCAGGCTCTATTGAGATGGAAGAGACCTCACTCCTGTCACTGGCCCAGTTGCAGGTTCACCTTTGAAAAGTGCCTCTGTTCATCTGGCAGTTTTGGATCCACTGCGGATTGACTTTCCCTCCAAGTCGCACTTTCACATGGCACAGGCTGTGATATGGTGGGCTTTGCAGCACTCCAATACGCTGTGAGGACCAAAGGCAAAGGAGACTTCCATGGTGCCAAGGTGCTTCGGGAGGCCTGACCCTTCACTCTAACCACTCACCAGTAGAATTTCTGCTCAAAGACCACTGGATCTAGCGGCATTGTCCACAGAAATGATCGTGACATGCACTCCATAGCCCAACAGCTCAACTTGTTTTTTTGAAAAAATGATCTTTTGGTGAATATGACTCCTTACTGTGGGCCATTTTCCTCTGGGCCCTCATCGACCCCGTCCTCGTATTGCCTGGCCAAGTCATGAGCGTATCCAACCTTTCCAAGTTGCAAATATTCTCTTTGAGAAGTGAGCCTTCCTTCCTTGCTACCGCATCCATGTTTGAAGATTGATCCATTCCTCTGCTAGCAAACTGGTATGCAAAGGCCAACATTCGTCGTCCCCTACTTCATTTGCCAGGTGCCAAGCTCATAAATATGGCTCATGACAGTGTTTAGTTTGGTGCAGGTAGGAGCCGCGGTGACAACATACAGTCAGACATACAGTCAGGAGTCCAATGGTTGATCGAGCCAAGAACCAAACTGGTGGATTCACAAAAACAACAAAACAATACAAGCAAACAATCGTTGCACCTTGGTCCAATTGGAGGTTCCACTTCATCGGCTCTCAGGAAATGTTTCACGCGGGCTTCAAAGCCGAATGGGAGATCAGAACACTCGTCCAACTCGTCCCGCCTTCAGCATGCACCAGCTCTTGTGCTGTTTTGGTGAAGAGTCGTGTGTCAACACCTTGCTTGGGCATTCGAGTCACATCGGAAGTCAAGGGGTCCGTGGAGTGCCTCAAGGCAGCTCAATCGTCTTTGGTTTCGGGGCTTGATACCTAGAGGACCCTCTTGTGCCGGCTTGCGGCTAGGGCACGTCAGAACCGCGGATGGGTGCCGGATTGGTGATTGTGGTCAGCCGTCCTGTCATTGGCACAATGCCTTGGCTCCAAGTCCGTAGAACTCTTCGACCTTTGATGCTTTCCCAGGGTAGGCTAAAGCACAAGTGGAGCACCCCGCCGGGATAAGCTGAGGACGCCCGGCCCATGAGGCGCGCCACGCGTGCCAGCAACTTCACGGGCACCGCCAACACGTCCCGGTCGCCACCTGGTGGCTTTGGCACGAAAACACGGCAAGGTCGGACCAATGCGGAAGAGTGATATCATTCTTCGAAGACATGCAAAGAAGTGTGTTCGGCAGCCCCTTGTTTTCCACCCCGAAATGAACCACCAGCAGCTACCAGCACAACAGCGAGACTTGGACCATGCAATCAAAAAGGTTTCACTGCACGCAAGATCACTAAAGCCTGTTCTAGACCCACATGAAAAGAGATCCGCTGAAGGACCGACATCAAACCACTCAACGTCCAACTCCGAGTTCCTTCACTCCCGGGAACTCGCATCTCACATCAAGTCTGGTCATCTTCTGAGTCGTAGCGATGCCCCTTGCTCCTAGTAGCGTCCTTGCTCCTAGTAGTAAGGCCAGGAGCCCCTAGTA